AAAAAAAAAAAAAAAAAAAAAAGAAAAAGAACAACTACAGAATGAAAGTGATTTCCTAATACTCTCACGAAATTTAAGTCTGACTTATTAAAAGAGAGAAAAGATACTTTAAATCTACCCACTTAAGCTAGACTCACTCAATCCAGGGTTCCCAAGATTTTTAAGCTGTCTCTCCCTGGGTATGAGCACTTAAGAAATATGTGGGTGAGTGTGTATATACATATATGCATATGCTTAACATACACACATCCTCATACAATCTTCTGGATCATAATTTGATACTTTTCTAACTCACCAGATTTCTCCTGTATATCCATGTTCTTGGAAAGTTTGCAGTTCTCTCTCATATACAGCATCCCAACTACATAAACAATGAAATGCAAAGCAAGATTCTTCAATTAAACTGTATTATAAATTAAATATACATTACAACGCCATTTAGGACAGATTTAAAACATTACTAGTATTAGCAACAAATGCACATGGTTCAATCTTTTAACATCCTTGGCTTAAGAGAAAGAAAGACCTGGGCAAACAAAATAACTTTATACTGTACATCTAAAGCACTCAGAACAAAACCTGACACATAAAAAATGCTATATAAGCATTAGCCTAAAAAAAAAAAAAAAAAACTGACATTTTTCCAAGGATCACTCTGTCCTAGACCCAAGTCAGTACAGCGGTCGCTCACAGTGGAACTCACCAAAAATCTGCTTAAAAGTTAAATTTAAGATTTAAGTCTTAAACCAGTTTCTTTCCTGTGCTATTTGTCTCTGCCTCTTCCTATTTCCTAGGCCTGCCCTTAAATAGTCTGTTAATCCTTTTAAGGACAGCCACCCCTATCATTTGCCTTCTCTTCCAACTCCCTCTCACCCCTCCAAGTTTACCTCTCATCCTAACCGTTTCCCACAGTCGTTCGAATATTTATCTATCCATCAATTCATTAAGTAATTACTGAGCGTCTGTTTAGGTCAGATCGCTTTCTCTTACCCCCATATCCCACACTAGGTCCTTGCTCCCTCCTGAAATCATGCTCTATCTCTCCCCTTCCAGCTCCCACATCCCTACCTTCGTACCCGTAGCCTTTAAGCTGCAGGCGGCACTTCTCCCCGTCCCTTACCGGTGCCCACCAGCCGGTCTGCCCCTCCCACTCTGCTTTCCTCTCCGTCAGGTTCAAGACCTCTAAAAGGCCTCCCCAAGAGCTTCAAAGCCCATCCCGCACCCTAAGAGCCCCCTAGGCTCCAATCCCTTGAAAGATCAATTAATCACCTCGGGTGACCACTGGGAATCCCACCCTTTTAAATCCCCTCTAGCCTCCCCCAAGGTGGCCCTTCAGGCTTCGTCCCGTTACGCCCCCAAGGCGCTCCCTTCCCCCGCAGCCCCCGAGTCTCCACCCCGTCATCCCCTTCCCGGAGCCCAGACTGGGCAGCGCCGCTCACCCTCCCCTACCCTGTGCCACACTCACTGCTCGCGGGTCCCCAAGGCCGAGGGGACAAAACTATCATCCCCGGGACTGCCCTCAGCGGACCGCACCGCCACTGCAGCGCCACCACCGCCGTCTGCGCCCGCGCTCATCTCGCTCCGCGTTCTGGACGGCCGTTGAGGACGCCATAGAGACGCGGCGCGGCCAGAGAGGACGCGCGGGCTGGCGCCTCCCGGCGGCGGGAGGCCACCCCTGCACTGCTCGGGCCGCGCGGGGTGGGCGAGAGACTGCATTCCTCCCAGGTCCCCCGCACAGGCGTGGGCCAGACAAAGCATCGCCTGCCTCTGAGCCCTCCAGTCTGCCATAGATACACCCCCTCGGTCCCCGGCGCGCCTTTTTGGGGAAACTGCTGTTTGTAAGGAACCACTCCAGGTGTTGCAGTTTGGAAAACGGCTAGCGCTGGGGCAGCCGCTCCAAAGACCCAAAGAACACGCAGCTCCAAACGCACGAGTCCCCTCCTCTCTCCACTTGTGGAGAGGGCTGGGAAATGGGTGGGGTAGCCCCTCGCATTATTTGGCTTCTCGGCTAGAGAGCTAATTTCATGTGTTACTGGTCTTCTTGCTTGAAAATAGCAGTCTGACCCTTCTGACTTGATGTCACTAGTGTACATGGGAATTTATCCCTAGGGAAAAGAATGCCCTACGACGCCCCATAGGACGCCAACCATTGGGATCTGTGTGTTAGGGAAGAAAGAGCACTAACTAAATTGACAGTAAAGATACTTGGATAAGTCTCAGTTCTGCCTCGAACCAGGAACATGGCCTTGTCTCAGTCTCCGTATCCTCAAAAATAGTGACATGTTCTACAAGGTCGCTCCCAACCGGTGAACCTGAGATTGCATCTGCCTTTTGGTCCCCCCCCCAACCCCCGCCCGCCCGCCTTTGGTAGCTCTGCTGTATAATCCAAGAGATCTATGGCCAAAGCTCTTGAGTATTCTCCGGAGCAGCAAGGAAAATCCTGGTGGTCCAACGTCCTGGGTAAGGAACTCAAAGGCCCCCCCTAACAAGACTGTTGTTGTCCCAACTAAACGGAGTTGTTTCCTAGGCCACTTTTCTCTTGGCTCTGCAAACAGAAACCCAATTACAAGTTCCTACAGGTAAATAGCATCAACAAAGGCATTTTCAACTCACAGAAATCCTGCTTGGAACCAAATATGCATCTCCTAAACATGGTGTTGGAGGATCTTCAGGCACCACTGGTGATAGGATAAAGTAAACGGCAGACTGGAATCCATGTGCATGGCGATTAAAGAACTCAAGAAGGAACATAGCAATAGGACCACTAGATGCCATGGCCTATCAGTGCTGCCCTTGTCAGGTGGTTGTTTCGATCTTTTCTAGGCTCTAGTTGTTAGAGAAAGCCAGAGTGAGTGTGACTCAGTAGGTCTTAAAAATTTTTAGATTCTGATTGAGAAGCATCCATGAAATGGCTTGGCGCCTGTAACTCAGTGGTTATGGTGCCAACCACATACACATACACCAGGGGTGGCCAGTTCGAACCCAGCCTGGGGCTGCTAAACAACAACGACAACTACAACAAAAAAATAGCCAGATGTTGTGGCAGGGTCTATAGTCCTAGCTACTCAGGAGGCTGAGGCAAGAGAACTGCTTAAGCCCAAGAGTATGAGGCTGCTGTGAGCTGTGATGCCACAGCACTCTACCACAGGTGACATAGTAAAATTCTGTCTTCACAAAAAAAAAAGAAAGAAAGAAAAACCTGTCTTCAATCTGATGTCTTGCCAACACTTAAAATGTTTTTGCTGTGTGTGACGAAAGCTATAAAGGGTTGTTAGTACAGAGCTCTGGAAAAACCCACCGTTTATACACAGTTTCTTCTCTGGCTCCAGGCAGGATTACTCTAGCTGTTTAGTCCTGAAGGCTGTGTGGGGCACCACCTCTGATCACCCAAGACGATGAGATTCTTGGTAGGGAGTGGAAAGGCTCTGAGAAAAGCTGCACAAAACTAGGGAGAAGCAGGAAAGAGCCAAAGAACACGGTCCCACTCACGCACTGGGTGACAGAAGGCAGGAAGGAGATGGCAAGTGCTCTGGATTGCATGCCTCCTTCTCTTCCAGTCTCTGCAGCTCGCACCTCACTCACCTACAATTCCTCTAAAATTGTGTTTCCAAGAGTTCTCAAACACTTCCCAACTTGTAAACCCAACGATCAAGTTCCAGGCTTTCACTTTGCAGCAATCAACACTCTGAGCACATCCTTCTGGAAAAAACTTCTTTGTTTTCCCACCACCTCCCATTAAATGAACCTTTAAAAAAGAGAGCCAGGCCCCCGGCTCTGGGGTTGAACTGCCAGGTTTTAAGCCCTGGCCTCACTATGTGTGACCTTGGGCAAGTTCCCTAACTTCTCAGGGCCTCAGTTCGCCTATCCTTAAAATAAGGATAATCTTAGCGCTTGTTACATAAGGCACCTCTAGCAAGTCAATGAGGTCATTCGTATAAAACCTTACCTGTCTGGCACATGGCAAATGCTCGATGAAGGTTAGCTCAGTTTCTTCAACTATAAAATGGAATTTAAATGAATCTACTTTAGAGACTTACTAGGAAGATTAAGTAAGTTAATACACATTATGTTTATTTATTTAGAGACAGAGTCTCACTTTGTCGCCCTTGGTAGAGTGCTGTGGTGTCATAGTTCACAGCAACCTCAAACTCTTGGACACAAGCAATTCTCTTGCCTCAGCCTCCTGAGTAACTGGGACTACAGGAACTCACCACAGCATTTATTTATTTATTTAGAGGCAGGGGCTCACTCTGGCTCAGGCTGGTCTCAAACCTGTGAGCTCAGGCAATCATTCCACCTCAGTCTCCCAGAGTGCTGGGATTACAGGCGTGAGCCACCGCACCCAGCCAATACACTGTACATTTAAAAAGGCTTAGAACAGAGCCTGACATACGAGTCAGTGTTCAATAAATATTGGCTATAGTTCTTATTATTAGTGACTTCTGAATCCAGCGCCAGATTTTTATTGCAGCTGCCTGTAATATTGTTGTATGTCCCTTATTATGTTAAACCGAACTCACTTGCACCACCTCCTCCCTCCCCCCATGCCTCCAAACCCATTTTCCCCTGTGCTTCCAATCAGTCGGCCCCTGACCATCTATGCCAGGCGTCCTCAAACTATGGCCTGCAGGCCACATGCAGCCCGCCTCGGACACTTATCCAGCCCACTGGGTGTTTTTGCCACCACTGCCTGTCCTGCTTAGCAGCCAACTTGTCCCAGGGCCCACAGTCTGACCCTCCAACTGTCTGAAGGACAGTGAACTGGCCCCCTGTTTAAAAAGTTTGAGGCCCCCTGAATTCTACACCATCAGCCAAAGCAGAGCACCACCTTTGTCTGTTCCTCCCCGCACAGCTGCTTTTGGCCTCCTCTTGGTCTCTGGGCTCAGAGGCACTTCTCCAGCATGTCATCACTGCTCTACCTTCCTCCAGCCACTCCACTCACAGCTCACTGTTCACTGGGACCATTGCAGCAGCTTCCCAGTAAACTTCCCCACAGCCATTTGGGAGTAGGCCCCTCTCAGGCCCCAGTTATGGCTTGCTCCCCTCTCTTCTGCCAGAAGGTCCTCTAAGACTCAGCCAGTTTTCCTCTCTTTCAATTCCTTTCACTCACTCCCTTCCTTTGCATTTTCCTGCCTGGCCATGGACTATGGAGTCAAACAGACTTGAACTTGAATCACACCTTAGTCCATACAAGATATGACCTTAAGCAAGTATCTCAATTTAAACCTCTTGAATCTTGGTTTTTTTCAGCTACAAAATGGGCATAATTCAAATGAAACTGGACTTTCTTATCCCTACTTTCAGGCCCATCACAGCAGAATGTTGTATTTGCATGAATATATAAGCATGCAGAAATACTCCATTTGTGTTGATAGATACAAATGGAATCTTACTATTTGCATATTTGCAACTTGCATCTTCATTGAACAATATTGTAGTGATATACCGTATTTGGAAATCTTTTCTCTTCAGGGCTAAAGTTCTTGTATTTTTTAAACTACTTCATGGTAATAGATATGATGGCTAACAGTCATTGGTCTGTCATTGTGCTCCAGGACCTGTGTTCAGAATATCTGATATATTGTCCCAATTACTACTGAAGATAGCCATATAAGGTGGATACTAGTATTGTCCTCATTTGATGGATGAGCAACTTTGAGGGCACATAGAAGCTCCCCAGGGTTACACAAGAAGTGCTGAAACTGAGATTGGAACCCAAGCAATCTACTATGCAGTTTTCAAACATGCCCACTACATGAGTATGCTTTATCACTATTAATGTTTCACTGAGTTTTTCATGAGGATGGCAATCGAGAGAGATTACATCACACAACATACAATACCAGAGCTGAAAAATTATTTGTATATTTTTTGGGACAGTCTCACTTTGTCACACTTGGTAGAGTGACAGTGGTGGTGTCACAGCTCACAACATTCTCAAACTCTTGGACTTAAGTGACTCTCTTGCCTCAGCCTCCCAAGTAGCTGGGACTACAGGTACCCGCCACAATGCCCGGCTATTATTATTATTATTTTTTTTTTTTGAGACAGAGCCTCAAGCTGTCACCCTGGGTAGAGTGGCATGGCATCACAGCTCACAGCAACCTCCAACTCCTGGGCTTAAGCGATTCTCTTGCCTCAGTCTCCCAAGTAGCTGGGACTACAGGCGCCCGCCACAGCGCCCAGCTATTTTTCAGTTGTAGTTGTCATTGTTGTTTGGCAGGCCCAGGCTGGATTTGAACTCACCAGCTCTGGTGTATGTGACTGGCACCCTAGCCCCTGAGATACAGGTGCCAAGCCATGAAAAATTCTTTATCTTGATTACTCTGTCCCCAAATTCCAGAATCTCAACTGAAGCTACTCATCTCTTATCATCTTCTTTCTCTTTCACCCCCTAAACTCTACCAGTCCATCTGGCTCTCTTTCCTCTCGCCTGCATCCAAAATTGTTTCTTCAATGGGCAAAGCTAAGGAATAGCAAGTCTACACCTTTTATCAGCTACTTCTGTCCCCATCCTGCTCCAGCATCCAGCTGATTAAACACAACCGTCTTCCCTAGGACTGTGCCACTTTGTCATGCACTATTAACTCGATAATCATGTATTGGGTAACATCTACATGCCAGAAATTATTCCCGATGATGGAGATGCAATGGTAAGCAAAGCAAACATGAATCCCTGTCTCTGTGAAGTTCAGCACATGCTGGGAAGAGGATAGACAATAGACACGAAAAAAGAATAAAATAAAGAAATAAAGATACTGCTAGATAGTGATAAGTGGTAAAGTGAAAAGTGAGGAAGTAATATGAAGAATATGGGGAATATGGGATGAAGGTTGCAATTCTTGTTAGGCTAACCAGGGAAGGGTCTCTGAGGGCATGGCACTGAGTGAAAACCTAAAAGATGTTTTTACAGGTGTATTCTTGGGAAGGGTGAGTCCGAGACTGACATGAACATGAAGGAAGTTGGTTAGAATTATCACTATTGATAATTCTTTGTTGTGCTCTCAGGAGTCACACCTGTTGGGGAAGGAAAAGAACCAGGATTAAATGGGTGAAGTAGTTGGTTTGCGACCATCACAATAGAACTTCAGCAAATCCTCTCTGCAATGTCCCCTATGTTGGGCACTCTAAAGCTGGAAAGACTTTTTGGAATTGTCTCAAGTTAGAATGAAGGAGCTGAGTTTTTATGAATCTACATTGTCCAGGCATTGAATGGTGGTTGCCCAGGAAAGGAGGTGTGGCCTTAAGCAATGAGATTTGCTTCCATTAGGGATAAATTCCACAAGAGGGCTAACAGGTGAGAGCTGCTTCCCAGCAGGAAGTCAGTCAGTCCTGCAGGAAGTTGGGGGGAGGGGGCAGAGATAGAAATCCATGCAGCTGTCTTGAGAGAAGAGCATTCCAGGGAAAGGAAACAGCAAGTGCAAAGGCCCTAGGTGGAATGAGGTGTGGATTATCCAGGAACCAGGAAGACTTACGTAGTTGCAATTGAGTAAACGAAAGGGGCATTAGCAGGAAATGAAATCAGCTAAGTAATAGGGTAAAGTTTGGGGTTTGGCCAAGAAGCAACATAATTTAAATTTTATGTTTAATGGGGGCAGGACACAATTTATAAGAGAGACTCTACTAACAAGTGCAAACATTGTAACCTAGTTCTTTGTACCTTCAAATTGTTATTTATGTTAACAATATAAATAAGTAACTTTTATATTTAAATGGTATGACCATTTGGGCTCCTATGTTGGGAATAGATTTGGCAAGGAAGGGGTTAAAGGCAGAAGCAGGACCTCTGGGTTTCTCAGTCTCATCACTATTGATAATTCTTTGTTGCAGGCCTGTCCTGTGCAGGAAGTTTAGCATCCTAGATGCCAATGGCACCTTCCCCCAAATTGTGATACCTGAAAATGTCTCGAAACATTGCCAAAAGTCCTCTGAGGGGCAAAATTCTCAACAATTCAGACAATCTGAGTTAGAGGCTGTTACAATAATCCTGGAGAAGGATGGTGGTGGCTTGGACCAGGGTGGTAAATGTGCGCGTGGTGAATTGCAGAGTTCTGGGTATATTTCTAAGATTGTGCTAGCTGATCAAAAGTAGGGTGTGAGAGAAAGGGAGGTGGTCAAGGATGATTCCAAGGTTTTTAGTCTGAGCAGCTGTCAGGAAACAGTTCTATTTAGCCAGCAGGAAAAGGGAAAGAAGGAGCTTTGTGGGAAATCAGGAGCTCGGTTTTGAACAGGAGAGATTAAACGAAAGGATAATGATTAGTGATGTTACTTTCTCCCCTGTGTTTCTTTTCCCAACTTTGATAGTTTATTTCACTGTTATTTACTATTTATGTTGGTTTTTATCTTCTTTCCATGATTTTTCATTAAATTTGTGTTCTTTCAATCCCAGGGTCCAATGGCTTCTTACCACACCAACTACTGCCACCATCCCGCCTCGCCCTTACACACTCTGGCTTGTGTTGACAGCCTCCCTTACTATCCCCCTCTACCCCCACACTATAGTCTCAACCTTGCAGCCAGTGGTCATGTTAAAATTGAAATCGCTTCACGTCACTCCTGTCAAACCCAACACGGTTCAATGGCCTGAATCATCTCCCCGCTTTCATCTTTGAGCTCCCTGTAGGCTTTCACGCTAAGCGTTTCATTTGCAAAGGGAAACAACTGTTTGGGGGAAACTCTCAAGGGCTATACAGCGGAGGAACTACCCCTTGGGAAGTTTCAGTGCTTGGGGCCATTTCAGTGACTGTGAAAACTGGCCCCATCCTCACGGCGGGGCGCTCGGCCCCGCGGTCGCTGCCGCCACGGACTCCATTTCCCAGGATGCCGAGGGGCGGCCCGGCCGGAAGGCTGTGCGCCCTCCGCGCGGCATGATGGGGGAGCTGGAGATTTCCATCATGGCGGCTTCCATTTCGGGCTACACCTTCAGCGCTGTGTGTTTCCACAGCGCCAACAGCAACGCGGACCACGTAGGTGCCGGGCCCCTGGCTGTGGCCGCTGGGGGCTTTCAGCCTCTGCATCAGGCCAGCGCTTGCGGCCACTCCCGGACCGCCTGAGGCTTGCCCCCCCAGGCACCAGGGCCGGCCGGAGAAGCCGGTGACTGGGGCGGCTCCCACCCCCGGCGAGCTTCTGCCTCCCTGGGCTCTTTCGCCCCTGGGACAGGCTCCCTAGCTTGGCGTTCTCAGCCGCCTGGCCGTCCCAGGACTGCAGTCTCTTGTCCAACGAAGATATCCCTCCTGACCCCCCGCAGTGTCAGGAGTCACTTGGTGGAAACTGAGCGCCTGCCCCTCCCTCCCTGAGAATCTAGAATTCTAGACTTAGGAGGGGCGCCCGGGGTCGGGAAGGAGTCGAGAGGCCAGGCTTTTAGCTAGGAGGCGAAGCACTCAGCCCCGCCTGCTAGTCTCACACCTTGTCGGTGCATCGAGTAAAACCATGGCTGTCACTATTCAGACTTGTTAGACACGCTGTGTGTTTTCTTCCCTCCTATGGAAAAGAGAGAATGTAAATAGGAGCAGTAGGTTGCAGGGTCTGTTTGCATTTCCTTGAAGTTGCTTGTTTAGTTCTTCAGCGAATGTTCTAAGACCACAGTGAAATAGGGAAGTGATAGGCCCACGAAGTGGTGGTCGGAAATGCATGGGCTTTGAAGCACACAGAGGGAGCAGAGTCTTTCTGTTGCAGTGTCTTTACTTTGGAATTGTCTTTTAGTGTCACTGGCCTTAGATTGGAAACTCTTTGTGAAACTGGATAATTTTTCTCTTGAAAGAGGTATTTAAATTTGCCCACCAAATTGGGTCATTTTAAATGATATTAATAGTGAATGATTCTAATTCATTAAATGTGTTTCTGTGGTTTTTTGTGGTTGTCATTACAAGGCAAAATGATACATGGCAAAAGGAGGAACAGGATTTGGTTTGATGTCAGCAATCTTAGCTTCCATTAGTAAATTGAAGGGAATTATTGTACCTTTCATCTCTTCCTTGTTGATGGTAGAGGTTAATGATAGGAATATGTACAGTATGGGCTTTTCCAGATGCACTGTGAACACTTTTGAACACTATGGCCTGTAGTACTGCAGCCAATTATTTAATAATGTAATGCAGTTCCATACAGTAGTTGTGTTACCCCTAGTGTCCATGAACTATTAAATACGGGTTCAATGATGCTTATTTACCCTATTTGTTAAGAGTGCCTAGGATTGGGCAGCACCTGTTGCTCAGTGGGTAGGGCGCCGGCCCCTTATACTGAGGATGGCGGGTTCAAACCCGGCAAACAAAACTGCGACAGAAAATACCCAGGCGTTCTGGCAGGCACCTATACTACCAGTTACTCGGGAGGCTGAGGCAAGAGAATCGCTTAAGCCCAGGAGTTGGAGATCGCTGTAAGCTGTGATGCCATGGCACTCTATGAGGGCAATAAAGTGAGACTCTTGTCTGTAAAAAAAAAAAAAAAAGTGCCTAGGATTATCATAGTTTATGCATAAAGCATGATTTTACTGTAAGAGTAAGGAGCTACCTGTTGAGAAATGGGCAGTTTTTCTACGAACTTCAATGAGATGGCTATATGACTTAAATTGTTATTAACTTAAAGAGATATCCCCTTAATATCCACTCTGTTTAAGGCATGATGCCTGACTTCATGGAAATTTTCACCAGTGCCAATAATTTACAAATGTGTTTTATATGAGCCTGCCTAATTATATTAACCTTACCACAATTACAGATGTTGAAAACCTGAAAATAATTTCAATTTTAAATTTCAGGAACCAACCAATTTACTTTTGTGATGCAAACTTGTTTTGTGCACTGTTGACTTACATCACTTTTTCTCACACTGAGGACTATTATAGGGTTACCAGGTAAAATACAGGTTACCCAGTTAAATATTAATTTTAGATAAATAGCAAATAATTTTTAGTATATCACATATCATACATAAAAATTATTTATTTGAAATTCAATTTTAATTAGGTGTCCTTTATATTTTTGTTAAATCTGGCAGTCCTAGACTATAGAACACTAGGAATCTGCTTATGTTCTTCATGTCTAAAGTTCTAAGAGTTTAAATTATTTTTTCATTTTGGTTTAAAATTGTTTTTTTTCCGGGGTGTGCTGGCTCATACCTATAATCCTAGCACTCTGGGAGGCTGAGGTAGGTGTATTGCTTGAACCCAGGAGTCTGAGGTTGCTGTGCGCTAAGCTGATACCATAGCACTCTAGCCTGGGCAACAGAGTGAGACTCTGTCTCAAAACAAATAAATAGTAAAAAAGTTTTTTCTTGTTACAAGACAAAGCTTCTTTTGTGGTAAGAACTCAGAATTGCAAGACTTTCAGAGGGTAAAACAAGCTTATTTATTTATTTTTAGAGACAGAGTCTCACTTTTTTGCCCTTGGTAGAGAGTGTCGTGGCATCACAGCTCACAGCAAACCTCGAACTCCTGGGCTTCGGAGATTCTCTTGCTTCAGCCTCCAGTGTAGCTGGGACTACAGGCGCCCGCTATTTTTTTGACGCCAGGCTATTTTTTTTGTTGCAGTTTGGCCGGGCTGGGTTTGAACCCGATACCCTCGGTATATGGGGCCGGTGCCCTACTCAATGAGCCACAGGTGCCGTCCATATTTATTTATTTTTATTTTTTATTTTTGGCTGGGGCTGGGTATGAACCCGTCACTTCCAGTATATGGAGCCAGAGCCCTACTCCTTGAGCCACAGGTGCCACCCCCATAAAACAAACTTATTTAGTTGGTACTTTTCAAACTAGCAGTCATAGGTACTCCTTTGGGGTCTGAGAGATTTTTTTTTTGTAGAGGCTGGCACAGAAAATTAGGATTTCAGCAAATAAAGAGAACTGGTATATTGGGCGGTGCCTGTGGCTCAGAGGAGTAGAGTGCCAGCCTCATATGCCGGAGGTGGCGGGTTCAAACCCAGCCCTGGGCAAAAATTGAAAAAAAAAAAAAAAAAAAGGAGAATTGGTATATTTCTCAAGTTGGAGAAATGCTCTGTTTGTTGATGATTTAGTATTTTAGGACACTTCTTCCCAAATCAAATACAAAAACTAGGCAGTAGAGCATCTGTCTGTCCTCTTACTCCCAAATTCTAACTTTTAACTGGAAATGTCTTTAGGCTCGGTGCCTGTGGCTCAAGCGGCTGAGGTGCCAGCCACATACACCTAAGGTGGCGGGTTCGAATCCAGCCCGGGCCCGCCAAAGAACAATGATTGCTGCAACCAAAAAATAGCCAGGCATTGTGGCGGGCACCTGTAATTCCATCTACTTGGGAGGCTGAGGCAGGAGACTCGCTTGAGCCCAGGAGTTGGAGGTTGCTGTGAGCAGTGAAGCCAGGGCACTCTACCCAGGGGCTCAGCTTGAGGCTCTGTCTCAAAAAAAAAAGAAATGTCTTTAAATTAGGAAACTTCCTTAATTGATTTGAATGATGAAGCTAGAGTAGAAGGGTATAGAATAAGGTCATTGTCTCAACAAATTTACTCATCTTGTATTTGAGCACCTACTATGTGTTAGACACTGTGCTGGGTGCTGAGGTATAGTGATGAACAAGCACAAAGTCCCTGCTGTCATGGAGCTTACGTTTTATCAGGGGATAGTAAGTAAACGTCTTGATTTAGATAAACATGTAATATGGTGGATAGTGAGAAGACTAAGAAGAATGCAGGGCAAAGAGGACAGAGTGCCTGGCAGATGCCGTTCCCGTTATATTGGTCAGGCAAGGCCCCTCTGATAAGTGCCATATAAGTAAAGACCTAAATGAAGGGAAAGACTAAGCCACTTGGGTATCTTGGGAGAGAGATTCCAGGACAGCTTATTACTTTACTCTCTCAAGAAAGTTATTTTGACACTTGGGCTGTATCTTCTGCAACTGTGCTTGTGCTAAGTAATATGCTGAGTAATCCAGAATTGATTATGATGGTATATGTTCTCCAAAGGTATAAATAAGTTAACCTCTGCATTTATTAAAGAAAAAATTGCATGTAAATCATAGGAAATTTATTTGCTGAAATCCTAATTTTCTGTGCCAGCCTCTACAAAAGCACTTAATTGTCATTGTGTTAACTTTTTTCTTTCTTTCTTTTTTTTTTGCAGTTTTTGGCTGGGGCTGAACCCGCCACCTCCTGGCATATGGGGCCAGCACCCTCCCCTTTTGAGCCACAGGCACCTCCCTGTGTTAACTTCTTTCTGTTTTGTTTTAAAAAGGCTTCATTGGGCAGTGCCTGTGGCTCAAAGGAGTAGGGTGCCGGCCCCATATGCCGGAGGTGGTGGGTTCAAACACAGCCCTGGCGAAAAACTGCAAAAAATAAATAAATAAATAAAAACACTTCATCACTAGAGTGTTTTCTGACTCTCTAGATGTTAGAAATTGTATAAATTGTGTGCTGTTTCAAGAAAACAACTTTGGAGTGTTTCTGCTTTCTAAGCTAATTTGACATTAGTTATGAGACTTAGGATTTAGGTGATGAATTCACTCATTTTTACTTCCAAAAAAAACAGAATACTTGAAGGGATTAAAATAATATTTTATTTTGTTATGGAATTCTTTTTCCAAACAATCCAATTATCCTCAGATTGCTTTATCTACTTGTTTATAGACTAGTGATGGTTCACATGACAAGCTTATTTGAATTATTGTTGAAGTTGTAAAATCATATACCTTAATTCCTCTCAGAAAAAAATCATCTTTATTTTTAGTCTGCAACTATTTTCTTTTGTTACTTTTAGGAAGGATTTTTGCTAGGAGAGGTAAGACAAGAGGAAACCTTTAGCATCAGTGACTCACAAATCAGCAACACAGAATTTCTGCAAGTAATTGGTAAGTAAATTTACTGTTGACTTTAGAAATACCCTTTTTTAAATTTTTTTGTTGTTGTTGCAGTTTGGCCAGGGCTGGGTTCAAACTCACCACCCTCGGTATATGGGGCTGGCGCCCTACTCACTGAGCCACAGGCGCCACCCTGAAATACCCTTTTTGTATATTTACTTAAGGTTTGTTCCTTGTCTTTTAACTAACTTTAAAGGACTAAAAGAGTACATAGAAAAAAATAAAATTATTTTCACTAATAAAGATATGAGATGCTTTTATAACTTGTGTAGACTCCCCGTGCACAGTAGGTCTTCTGTGACTCACCATCTGGTCTGACTTGACTGAATTGCTGTGTGACCGTTTAATTGATAGTCTTTTTAAAACTAATTGAAGGCTGGGCATGGTGGCCTATGCTTCTAATCCCAGCACTTGGGAGGCCAAGGGTTCAAGAGCAATATAGCAAGACCATGTCTCTACAAAAAATAGAAAAATTAACTATTAGCGGGTGCCTATAGCCCAGCTACTTGTGAGGCTGAGGCAGGAGCATCACTTGAGCACAGGAGTTTGAGTTTTTAGTGAGCATTGATGATGCCCCTGTGCTTTAGCCTGTACAACAGAGTGAGACCCTATCTCAAAAAAAAAGAAAAAAAAAATCGAGGCCAGGTGCAGTGGCTCACACCTGTAATTCTAGCACTCTAGGAGGCTGAGGCAGGTGGATTACTTGAACTCAGGAATTTGAGACCAGTCTGAGAAAAAGGGAGACTCCATCTCTACTAAAAATAGAAAAACTAGCTGGGCACTGTGGCGGCACCCATAGTCCTGGCTATTGGGACTGAGGCTGAGGCAAGAGGATTGCCTGAGCCCAGGAGATTGAGGGTACTGTGAGGTCTGATAATGCTGTGGCACTCTACTCAGGACAACAGAGTGAAACTTGGTCTAAAAAAATAAAAACAACGAATCTTAAGTTTGCAAATTAGCCTCCTTCTATTGCCAGTATCACCTCACACTGTAAGGAATGAACTCCAGTCTTTCCTAGAGGCATCCAGCTAAGATGTTTACACTTGTTTGTCTGGGATATTTGCTAAACCTACACAGGCTTCTGACAAGCCAGGTAGCCATTTGAGGGGAGATTACTGAAGAAGAGAAAGGAGTCTCTAGATGAACTTACTCTCTTTAGATCATCGATCAGCCTCTTTTTGGTAAATAGTGATCAAGTCCTTTCAGGTATACCTCAACCAGATCCCAAAACAGCACATCCTGATAGAAGAAAACAGGGAACATTTCATTTATTTATGCAGCAGACTGTTATTAAATAACTTCCATGCACGAGGCATGTGTTGAGCAGTGAAAGAAACAGAATCATTCCTGCCTTCCAGAGCTGTGGGGCAGATAAGACAGAGATGCAGAAATACCAGACACTGCAAGATGAGTGCTATAAGAAAGGAACAAAGAGGCCCAGCGCAGTGGCACTTGGGAGGCTGAGGCCAGTGGATTGCCTGAGCCAGAGTGAGACCCCATCTAAAAAGAAAAATAGCCAGGCATTATGGCAGGCATCTGTAGTCCCAGCTACTTGGGAGGCTGAAGCAAGAGAATTGCTTGAGCCCAAGTTTGAGGTTGCTGTGAGCTAAGACGCCATGGCACTCTACCAAAGGTGACCAAGTGAGACTCTGTCTCAAAACTAAAAAAAAAAAAAAAAAAGAGAGAGAAACAAAGAAAATCCTGTGTACATAGTTGAGAGAAACTGCTAGTGGGGAAATCAGTAAAGGTATCAGCAAGGAGTTGAACTTAGGGCCAGTGGGTAGTGTATTCAAGGGAATACAGAATCAGAAGTGTATAAAAACACACAGGGGATCTGGCCTTGTTCTGTATGACTAAACTAAAACAAGAATGCATGAGGATGAGGAGTTTGTGGTTTAAAATATTGCTGGCAGGTTAAGTCATATTGGAAGCAAGTCATCAATTTCAACCAAGCCTGTTCCGATAGCCTTCTAGTACCTGGGTTAGGGAACAAGGGTAAGGATTGAGGTGGGGTTAGTGTTGGGGGAAAATGAGACAGAATTGTCTCCTAAAGTTCGAAACCATAAAACCCACTTAACCTACTCCCCACGTTAATTGACTTACTAAGACTTGATATGTGTACAGAGTATAGCTTGTTTTTCATCGAGGTTTTTGTTTTTGTTTTGCTTTAATTCCTTAAAATTTTGAAACAGTTTGTTTCATAGGACATCTGTTCAGTTATTTATTATTAGCACTTGGGTTTATAAAATTAATCTGGTGGATGAAGGTTAAATTGCCAGATGCGGTTAACTGATAGGAAACTGTGGAGTAAGAGCTCTCTCATCTGGCATGATTACAAAAATAGCATTTGGGATAAATATTCTGACTGTTTAATTCTTTTTAAAGAAATAGAATGGTAAAGTAATTACAATTCTATGTAGCATAATATATTGATCCTTTGACTCATACACTGCAGTAAATATCAGTTTTCATGGTATTGTAGACATGAAGAAATAACAATCAATAGAGCATTCCAGTTAATACGGTATCATGACAACCATCTCTTGCTGTACAGTCTTTAATTTTTTAGCAACATTCAGTTCATTGAAATGATTATGCATCTTATGGGCAAAGCCTTTGCTATTACCACCTTAAGTGTTTTGTCACCATTGTAACATTTTTCTTTTAAAAGTAAAAACATTGGGTGGTGCCTATGGCTCAAAGGGCTAGAGCACCAGCCTCATATGCCAGAGGTGGTGGGTTCAAGCCCAGCCCCACCCAAAAACTGCAAAACAAAACAAAATTATAAAAAAAAAAGTAAAAACATCAGGCTGGGTGTGGTGGATTCATGCCTGTAATCCTAGTATTCTGGGAGGCCAAGGCAGGTGCATTGCTTGAGCTCAGGTGTTCGAGACCAGTCTGAGCAAGAGGGAGACCCCTGTCTCTATGGAAAATAAAAAACTAGCTGGGGCTAGTGGCACATGCTTATAGTCCCAGCTACTGGGGATGCTGAGGCAAGAGGATCACTTGAACCCAGGAATTTGAGGTTGCCGTGAGCTATGATGCCATGGCACTCTACCCAGGGGGACAGAATTAGACTCTGTGTGAAAAAATAAAAATAGAACAAAAACATCCAAAAATGTAAACCAGGGACTCTGGAAAATATGTAGGTTGAAAGGACAAACACAGGGGAAACTTCCTTGAGCAGTATTCACTGTCAGTGGGAGGAGGAGGTTCTCTGTTGTAGCTCAACCTCTAGAATAAGATGGGGGTTTCTGTTTGTTTCTTTTTTGTTTGTTTGTTTGAGACAGAGTCTCACTATGTGGTCTTCGGCAGAGTGCTGTGGCATCACAGCTCACGGCAACCTCAAACTCTTGGGCTTAAGCAATTTTCTTGCCTCACTCCCCCCACCCCCAAGTAGCTGAGAATACGGGCACCGTCTGTTTTTTTGTTGTAGTTGCCATTGTTGTTTGGCAGGTCTGGGCTGTGTTCAAACCCACCAGCTACAGTTCTGTGTGTCCAGTGCCCTAGTCATTGAGGTACAGGCACTGAGCCTAGAATAAGAGGTTTTAAGTAAAATAAGTTGACTCTGTTTTTACCTTACTCTCTGCACTGGGAGGACTTATACTACACATTTTAAACACAAAATGTCTGCATCTCATTTTGAATATATATTCATTTAAAATGCTGCGCTAACTCTAAGCAAAGCTGTCCCCTTAGTTCTAGGAGTGAGAGGAGGCAGCAATAGACAAGTGTCCTTAGTTAATGAGGAGGTGCAGTAGCAATCTTTTGGAAAAAATGGAAGGGGGCTCACCCAGGAGGAAGAGAAGCAGGAACAGCAGTACCACATGGTAGAGATGGCGAGAGAACTGTGTGTTGGCAGGCCATACGTCCTTCGAGGTGGTTTTACCAGGTAGATGAGCCACTGGGGCGTGAGAAACTCTAGAAATCCCAGGCGAAGCTGCCTGGCTTCTGCCTGCTTCCAGATGTCCACCTGTCAGTTAATGTACCCTCCAGCTTCATTCCAGTCTGCGCTTTTTCATGTTTGATGCCTTCACCCTGTTTTTTTCATGGAGTACTTAGTATTGAAAAAAAGCTTAGAAAGCTTTAACTTTGTTCAGAAAACAGCGTGTGATGTCTAGAGTATGTATTTTGCGTGCCTATAATCCAGGTTGTAAATTATGAAAAAAACTGGCAGTGTGCATTCAGCGTTCAGCTCTTACCCCAGGGATTTCATTGAACAAGATATTCTTTCCTTTGAACAGAAAAATAAATGCTGCATTTATTTACAAGTGGGAGCTGAACTTTGGCTACACAAGGGCACAGAGTGGTAAAATGGACATTGGAGACTAAAAAGGGAGGAGGTTGGGAGGGCTGAGGGACAACAAATTACATACCGGGCAGAGCATATACTATTCAGGTACCGGCTACACTGAAAGCCCAGACTTCACCACTATACGATACATACATGTAAAAAAATTCAGCTTGTATCACCTGAATCTATTAAGAAAAAAATTTTTAGTTAGTATTTTAAATTTTATTTTATTTATTTATTTATTTAGAGACAGAGTTTCTACTTTATCACCCTTAGTAGAGTGCTGTGCTGTCACAACTCACAGCAACCTTCAACTCCTGGGCTTAGGTGATTCTCTTGCCTCATCCTCCCAAGTAGCTGGGACTACAGGCACCTGCCACAATGCCTGGCTATTTTTTGGTTGCATTGTTGTTTGGTGGGCCCAGGCTGGATTCGAACCCAGCAGCTCCCATGTATGTGGCTGGCGCCCTAGCTGCTTGAGCCACAGGCACCAAGCTAGTTATTTTATTTTTAAGATAACCACATTTTATTACTGTTAATAGTATCTACATAAATTTCAAAAACAGTAATAAAATATGCATGAGACTAGTTTATCCAGCTATAACCTATCTGGTGCATATTTGCATTTTTTAAAAATTGTTTGGGATTCATTGAGGGTACAAAGAATTAGGTTACACTGATTGCATTTTTTTAATTTTTTAAAAAGAAAGAATCTCAAAATATTCTTTCCTTTAGAGTAGAAGTTGAGTCTTTCTTTTGCTGGAAGTTTAGGTAATATTTTTAGCTACACATTTTCTGTATCCTAATTATAAATAGTATCTCTGAAATAACTTAATGATGGTATACTGTATCATTTTTAGTGATAAAAGAAGGAAATATTTCTGGATGAGTTTTTTTATTTGCTTAGGCAAATGAGCTTTCCTTTCCTGTGGAAATATTGCATTTGTGCGTGTGTTTGAGCAGTGTTAACACAAATACAGAAGCTAATGGGTGTAGCCCCATGTCCTTCTAGGCTGTGGTTTCATTTTAATTGAGTTAAAATTACAGCCTGGAACTCTGGGGCTTTGGCTTTTTAAACAGCAGGCGATGAGTCACTCTCTAGGAGGACATGATTAATAGAATTGAATGGTCAATTAGTCTCATGATCTTATAAAGAAACCCGGACCCTAAGCCCCCTGATGAGCCTGAAGAAATTGTTCATTCTCCTTAATTACAGCAACTTTTCAGAAGCTGTTACAATCTGCCTTATAAATGAGGGTTTCCCTTGGTACTAACCATTTTTGAAAGGGTTACTAGATTTCCAGAGTTTTTGCCCCTTCAAAGCACCTGGCCCAAGTTGTCATGAGTTGTTAGTTGGTTATTGATGAGAGGGTGGTTAAGGTCCTTCTCTCCCTCAGCTGCCCTCACAGCTTTTATGCAACTTGATGAAATGCTTCCAGTAAGTGATTAGTTTTTCCTATTATACGTTGTTTAAACAGATGAGATTGAGCAAGGCACATAATAGCTGCATGTCCCTGAATGTAAAGCTTTCAGATGTATCCTCATTTTACAGAGACAAGTGGAAATTGAACTTCCATTCTGCATTTTTTTTTGTTCTGGTAACATGTCCCTGACTGTAAATGTTAAGTTACAATGGCCTTCACTGGTGTGCAGGCAGCACCCAATTGGGAGAGGAAAACTCTCCCAAACAGACTTTTTTCATTATCTGAGATTTGGGTTAAAAAAATAAATCTTGGCTCGGCGCCTATAGCTCAACCGGCTAAGGCGCCAGCCACG